AGCAGCCATTGTTAGCGCGGGGGAAAATAATGTATTTCGCGACAATAATGGATACAGAGACTCGACCCTACTAGTCCCAAAACGAAGACAATTTTTTGACCTTTTCCCTTGGGCTAGAGTTCTTAAATGAGTCAGAAAATAGAAAAACAACGGAAAAAGAGACTCGGCATCAGCGCCTTCACGATTCGCTTCAATTGATCCACAATTCTACAGGCTATGTTCTAAAACAATTATTTCATGCTTTCAGCTGTGCACTATCGAGTTATGGAGCACGTGGGAAGTTTGGAGAGCACTCAAGAAGGTAGAGTTGCCCTCGGCTATCGCCTCGGGCAACTCTTACGCTTCTTTCGTGCTCTCCAAACTTCCCGCGTGCTCCATAACTCGATAGTGCACGCTAAAGCATGAACCAGTTGTTAATTAGACCTTTACTTCAATTACTTCTTAGCATTTTAACATAAAATTTGCCTGTTGTTAAGAGAGAATGATATAGAAAGTTAAGCTGTCCGGATCCTTCATTTATAATGCTTTGGTTCACCTGTCTTCTTCTCTTAACACTTGATCTGTTTGTGCCCCAGCTAATGAACATACTAAACGTAAACTTTGGGAATTTTTTTTTTCAGAGTAAAAGCGTGATAGCAGTAGGAACTTTTCCTTTATCGTGGACATACAGCCGAATGAACTCCACGTTGAAAAAATCTCAAATAATTAATAAAGTAATGAATAGATAAATGTAACCTATATGTGACTTAATACAACGCTTAAAATGATAACTGGAACAACAAACAACCGCGCTTTCTTATTACGTACAGTCAAAGGAAGTACCTTACCAACTGACAAGAGAGGTTCTATCCCAGGAATCATCACTGGAGTTGTTGTTGCTGTTGTTATGGGAACGATTGTGTTAATCTTTAAAAGATGGAAAGTCAAACAAAAACGACTTCGTGGTGTCAAAACAAAAAGGTTGGCACCAAATTTTATGTCCTGTAGCACTTGTGTGTCAATGATTTTGGAGATAGAGAACGACGGCCTCTGTCGTCGAATCGTGATAAATATCATTTTTCACAGCGTACATCATGACGTCAGGGTTACCATGTAACTAATCTCGTCTCCAAATCCTACAGTGTAACTGTTATTGGAATGTATTTCCCACCACTTGTCCGTGAAAGGTCTGGGTACGAAACTATCACGTCACGATAGCTTTAGGGAAAATACTGACTCTATCCCTCTTCCTTTTACGTCTCTCCCAGATGGTCAAGAAAATAATGGTTAATAAATTTCAGCGAACGAGGCGTAGCTGTAAGGCACTGAAATACATTAATTCTGACGTTGATTCTCATTCCCAGATCGAAGTCTGACATTGTCCACTTCCTGAAAGAGGAAGTCTACCCTGATAGGGTAACTCTCCATGAAGAACTGGGCCGGGGGGCTTTTGGTAAAGTTCAAAGAGGAGTTTTAAGAAAATTACCAAGCACTGAAGTATTTCGTATGCAAAGGGAGAAGAGAGCAGAAGTCTGCGAAGAAACTGTTGTTGTTGCTGTGAAAGTGTTATTCGGTGAGACTTACCATTATACACTTGGATGCTTTTTTGTTTCGAAAGAAATTATTAAAAACATCAAGTTTTGTCCTATTCCTATGGTTTTTCCGTTGAACGGTAGATTAATTTTCGCAAGAAAGTCATGCTGCAGAAGAATTAATGAGTCAATAAGCGATTGTGGTAAAAGTGGAACTAACACTTTTCCTTGTTTTTGACATTGCTGTGTTCATTTCATTTTCTGTTTTTCTTGTGATCCTGAATCATTCATTAGATGCAGCGTGCGAGGAAGGAAAACATCAGTTTCTACGGGAAATTGAGCTTATGAGAAAAATTGGTTCTCACAAGAATGTACTTTCTATGCTCGGCTACTGGATCAAGTCGGAACCAATCATGTTAATCTTGGAATATGTTCCGCACGGAGATCTTCTTCAGTGGTTAAGAGACAAACGGCAGGTAACGCAGTGTTTCGAAATCCAGTAATCTGGGATAGAATTGCTTTTTCTCTGTTGCGCTCTATGCTTGGTAGAGAATACCCGTGCCACCCTTTCATCCAATCAGATCCAAACTAAAACCATAAGCCATAAGCAGGGTTTTTTTTACCGGGATATATTTTTTATTCCGATTGGTACCTTCTGGTATCAAACTTGATTCTGGTCATAACTTTAAATGCAACGATAAAAGCGAAGTAAAACAATGATCCTACAGTTTTAAGCAATTTCACAAAAAGCCCTCCGATACTTGTCAACTACCAACTGAGCTACGAAACCACGCGTCGAGAACGGCGCACCTGTGAAATTCTGTTTGATGACACTTCCTCCAAGAGGTACTGCACTCATACCGGTGTATTAATCACGTCACCTGATATGATTTATGTGTAAATGTTAGAGATATCCATTACAAAATAAAAAAAAAATTTTCTCACAGGGGACGATCGCGAATATTACGGAGCTGCATTAACATTTGAACCTTTTTCCCCTTTTAATCTTGAACCTGTTTCAGTATATTTCATCGCAGCAACAAGACCTCTATGAAGGAAAACAATGCATTGGAGAAGGAGAGAACGACGAGGGAAGACGGATTCCTGGTGACGAATCCAGAGGTGTTTCGGGGGCGATAAATTTGACCGGAGCTGACAACGCCTGCAAGGTGGTAAATTTGACGGAGGCGGACATGGCTTGTCGAGTAGAAATAGCTCCTACGTTGTTGGAAAATGAGGAAAAGAAAGGGACGCCACAGAAAAATGGCATCCCCTGTCAAGTGGTTAACACAGAGGTTCAGTCGTCAGATGAACAACACATCAACTCATGTTCAAATGACCTTTCTGTTAAAGATCTTGTTTGTTTTGCGTGGCAAATAACTCAAGGGATGGTAAGAAAGCTGCATTATGCGCGTCAGTCATATTTCTAATTGAACTTGATGCGGCCGAATTTTCATGAAGCTTTAATGTCAAAGATCATACATAAGATTTGTTGGTTGTTTATTTTACAAACTACCACTGACTAAAGCAAAGTTGTCCTAGCCGCTGAAGACTGGTAACTTTAAATAACCCTATCTGTACATTGTACATGCCGCTGATACTTGTTTACGGTAAAGAAAGATTTCTTTTGCAGCCGCACTTCATGAGGCATAATTATACCTTTGCCAACAGGATTACTTGGCCAGTAAAGAATTTGTTCACCGTGATCTGGCGGCCCGTAATGTTCTTCTTGGTGAGGGTAGAACTGTTAAAATTGCTGACTTTGGACTGTTACGTCATACGTATGGTGAAATATACGAAGCGAAACAGAAGAAGAAACTGCCAATCAAATGGACGGCACCGGAAGCGCTCTGTCACGGCAGCTATACTTCTAAAAGTGACGTGTAAGTATGTTGAAGCTCTGAACAGCATAAAGATTTTACTATGATAACAGCTTTTTGAAATGTGCAATTTCTATAAAATGAACGTGTTTCAAACTTTCCCGAGCAGAAGGGGTTTATGTGCCACGGACTAAGGTCAAGCAAAGCAGCCGGCCAACGGCCGCAAAATATGTTTGTCACACTTTCTTTGTCTCCACCGAGAAGTTTGTTTTCTATTACAGCTAGGGGAAATTGAATGACGTGCTATATCTCTAGGGAATCCTCAGCTATTTTATGGAAGCTTGTTAAAGAAGGAAAATATATAGAAAACATTGAGATATACAGAATAACAGAAAACTATATTAGCTATAGGATGTAAAAGGATAATTTAAAAAGTCCTTGTTAACTTTTCAAGGTAGAAATAGTCTACCCATCTTCCTTGATCCAATCGTTGGTCCACTTTTTTTCAGGTGGTCCTTCGGAGTAGTTCTGTGGGAAATGGCGACAATGGGTAGGAGCTTTGGAAAATCTGCTGCAATAACTAAATTTCTAGTGAAAATTTTGAGGTGCAGTTGATAATATCATGGACCATGTTGAAATTGGGATGGGTGGGTTTACTGGGCCCGCAGTAATTGGCGCAAGCTGTTGCGGTGTCCCTGCCTGTCGGCGAATCTAATCAACACACACACACAGACACACAGACACACACACACACACACACACACACACACACACACACACAAAACGCACCCTCCCCCAGAGGGTCCAGAAAACTAGCGCTTTTCTCTCAACCAATCAGATGCAAAACTGAAAACAATCCACTGAATATCAAAGTAGTAGGTAGCGAAGTTAGAAGGTTTGCATAAAGGAAAAACGAAAAATAGATGGTTCCAAGGCTTATTTAGGTTGGATGTCTCAATTTTGTTTTTGTTTTTTATTTTGTTTTTCGTTTTGCTTTTGTGTTTGTGTTTAACTAAATGAACTTTATTGAACTGATATTTCAGGCGGAATTCCATATCCTGGAATAAGCAACAAAGAGTTGTACAAACTTCTTAAGACTGGATATCGAATGGAAAAACCAGACATGTGTTCTGACGAAATGTAAGCGGCTGTAACTACGATCTTCGTGGTGAAATCAACATCATAAATTGACTACACTGACAACAATGATATACTATTTTCTTCAAAGTGGATCTTGCAGATATTTAGAATCTAATAACTGAAATAAAGACCGATTCTACCTGGGTCACTGACTCAGATTGTTGAACAAAGCAAAATCCTAACCTCTTTCACCAGAGAGGTCAAATCTCTTTTCCAAAAGTTACGAACTTTGTAAGTCCGCTCCACGGACTTTTTTTTTTCTCGCGCGGGATCAAAGCGGGCAATACCGAGTGGGCAAGATGGGCCCAGCTTGCCCGCTCGGGTAGCCAATCAGACCACAAGATTCGCTTCATCTTGCCCGCGGGCGCTGCCATCTATAGAATAAGGTCAAATATTGAAATTTTTCATCCCAACAGATACAATCTAATACTGGAGTGCTGGAAGGAAGATCCCAGCGAAAGACCAACATTCAGGGACCTGATTCCAACACTGGAAGAAATGATGACTAAAGACACTCCTTACTACGACTTCGACAAACTGGACGAGAATGATGCTTGTTACGATGAAGTCATTTCTGACAGCAGTGACACTTGCGATGCAGACACTCCGTTATAATTTAGTAATATATTAATTTTGTAAACAACGAAAAGTTTTAGTTCAGTACTGAACGATGAAAATAGCACATGACGGCATTGGCACTCCCTCAAAATGATAAGAAAAGGTAAAAGAGCTGCCTTAAATTAAACATCTGAATACAATTTGCAAAATTTAAATGGCATGATAAACAAAACACATCCTACTCATGTTGCATTTTTCCGATAAATTTTTTCCATGGTACATGAAAAGAATCAATGGTTCATTGGCCATTTGACTCTCGAAAATGACTTACATGAAATTTCTCCCTGCAATATCCATACATTATCCAGCAAACTGGTAATGACTGACAATACTCAAATTTATCGGGTAAACGTTGTTTTCTTGATCTAACACCAAATTGTCCTAACTAATTTACAAGAAAATGGGAAGCAGCCAGAGGGGAGAATAAACAATTTGATCTTGGGAGTTTAAAGGGGTAAATTGATAATCAGGTGCGGTGTCTAGGAACAAGAGAAAAGCAAACAGGACAAACTTCAATATTACAATACTAAAAGAAGGAAAACCACCCAACAGTGCAGTGCCCCTCCTCCATGAGTAAAAATTGTCCTGGGCATTACACTAACGTAATATTTGATTCTGTAATCTACATTATTGTCCCCAGAGGGATTGATATTTCAGCTGAACTGCGAGCATCCAGGAACACATTCTTGAAAAGTGTAAGAGCAGTTCTGATGTCACTCAAAGTGAAGATGTCCAATACCTAAAAGGGTTTAGTTTAGCAAAAGTGAGACTTAGTAGCAAACAACTAAAACACTACCACAGTTTGCCAATTCTAAATTTGGTGACTATTTCCCGCACCCATACAAAAGCTATGAACAAAGTAAATGAAACAAGCTTTAGAGATGAAGGGATCTTTTGGAAATACCCACTCAAGGAAAGAGTCACACTGTATTCTTTCACCGTATTTCTCTTTGAATCTTTATTGAACAGTTGCAGAGTAAGGTGATTTGGATAAGAAAAATACAAAAGAAAGATTTCTGAAGAGACATTTAAGTGACTATGAAATAATACCAGTGTGTATTAAATACAATGTAAAGCTTGGCAAACCTCTCAAATTCAGCCAAAGATGTTCAGAATGGGTTAATTAAAGTACCTTTCAATAACATACAAACCCTAAAGTTCAAAGCAAACCTAACAATTAACACTTTCCCAATACATAACGTATCTGACATCTGTACCAAGAGAAAAAAAAAAACAGGGTGGAATGAGATTTTTCGATCATGACAAGTCATTTGAAATTGATGACATGTCATGTCATTTACTGACAGATCCATAACAAGAATAATTGCAACATAAAAAAGCACATCCCATCACAGGTCTTTAACTCCATGGTTTGTATATTAATGAAAAATGTAATAAATAACAATGCCAAAACACATTTGTATTTCTTTAGAGTAAATATTAAGTCCAATTAGTGATGGTACAGATCATGACATAAAAATGCGATAAATAACAATGCCAAAACACATTTGTATTTCTTTAGAGTAAATATTAAGTTCAATTAGTGATGGTACAGATCATGACACTGACACCGGTATTCACAGGATTAGTGCAAATCAAATTACATTCCAGCATATTTTATAAACATGTCACATCAAATTCTAATTTAAAGACAGTATTTGCACCGATAAGGAAGTTAATAATTTACAACAACTTCTTTTGTTAATAATTTGCAATGCCTTAGCAATGGATATCCCTGATAGCATTTAAGTCATAGTTAGTATCCACACAGTGATTACAATGGAAAGTTACAATGGTAACCATAACATCTTGATTATGCATTTATATGTATGAATTTGAAGCTTCAACATCCCTCTCCCCAGGCAAACCCCACGACATTTGAACTTTTTCAGATTTGATGGTCAATTTTTTTTTTTTTAAAAAGCAAAATCAGCAACTGTGACTTTCTACACACAGACCAAGCTTTAAAACCTAGACCTGGTAGACCTTTTCTTCTGAGTCATTTGCATGCAAAAGTGAACTCTTTAACAAATGGTCAACAACACAGTGTACACTATTGAGTTATGGATGCATGCAGGAGGTTGCTAAGCATGAAAGAAGTGTAAGAGTCGCACAAGGCGATAGCTGAGAGCGACTCTAGCTTCTTGAGTGCTTTGCAAACCTCCCAAGTGTATCCATAACTCAATAGTGTATGCTGTGGTGTTTACCATTTGTTTTATAACATAACATTGATACATTGTAGCAAAAGAGTTCCCTTTAATTTAACAAGTCTTACATGACCAGGAAAAAAAAAAGTACCCATGGAAAAATAGTCTTAGCATTTGCAGCGTACACCTATGGGCAAATGGTGGATGCTGGATTGACAAATCAGAGCGCATGCTTTACTTTAGTTATGTTTATAATTACCTTTAAAGTGCACCTAAACCCCAAATTTTTTTTTCGCTTAACGAAATAAGCTTATTTTTAGGAGTATTTCTGTGCAAAAATTTTTTAATTTGCTTAAATCTAAAATTTTCTGTGCCTAGTCAAAATACGGAAAATCGGCCGCCATCTTGCCCCACGACCGAGTTTAAAGAGGAATGGCTCTAGCGGATAATGTGACGTCAAATCGAGAACACGAAAGTCTGCTTTTCACACATTTTCACTTGTTTGGGAAGGTTGTGGTCGATATTGTCCGAAATATGCTGACCAGGTGTGTTGTATGAGGAATGTATGGAGCGTGATACCCTCTTGCAAATTTCGCACGTTGCTACATCCTCCTACAACACTCTTAGTCGGCATATTTTCGGACAAAATCGACTACAACCTTCCCAAACAAGCGAAAATGTGTGAAAAGCAGACTTTCGTGTTCTCGATTTGACGTCACATTATCCGCTAGAGCCATTCCTCTTTAAACTCGGTCGTGGGGCAAGATGGCGGCCGATTTTCCGTATTTTGACTAGGCACAGACAATTGAAGATTCGAGCAAATAAAAAAATGTTTGCACAGAAATACTCCAAAAAATACGCTTATTTCGTTAAGCGAAAAAAAATTTTTGGGTTTAGGTGCACTTTAAATATCTCCAGATTTAAGGATATAACACATGTTATCAGCTGGAATGACTTGACACTTCTGGTTCAAATTACCCACCTTGCCCAGAAAGGTTCAAACAACAGACAAGACAGGACACAGATAATGGTCAAGTCTAAGGGTTGCCATGGGGTGGGTGTTGAGGCTTCGAATTGATTGGCACAATGCAATCTCAACATTATGCAATGTCAAAAGGATGAAAGGGAGTTTCAGAAGACTTAAATTTAGGAGGTATGACCTTTGCCCTAGCTGAAGCTACGACAAGACTAGATGTTCAACCCAGGTCACTTCAGTGATATGGGAATAGTACAACTTTTACGTATGATGCACGATCCTCGCAGTAGAGAGCACTATTTATGCAAAAATATATGATCTTCATATATTCATTGTATCTGATTTATCATCACGGGTTTATTACGAATCAACTTAACGGCCTGCTCCCAGTTGGCTTGTTAGCTCGATTGGTAGAGCACTGCACTAGTATCGCAGAGGTCAGTGGTTCAAATCCCGTACAGGCCTGATTTTTTTCAGGTCTGATTTTCGCTATTGCATAAATAGCGCTCTCTACTGTGAGGATCGTGCATCATACGTATCTAATACCACAGTTCTAAATATATGAACTTAGTATAACTTTTGTTTCAAGAATACTTTCCACTACATTCACAGTTCTGTTCTTGACTTGTTTAAGCTTAAATGTAATTTTATTGAGGCACAATATCACGAGGGATGTAAAAGGGACAGGGGGCCTGGGCCTGGGAACATTATCATTTAAGGGAAGTAGGGTGGTCTGTGTATTGCGAAGCTAACAGAACGACTTGGTATACATGTACTTGTTAGTGGAGTTTTTTAATTAAAGACCAGAATAAAGTTTCTGTTCACAAAAATATTAGTTTCTAACAAAATAAGCTGCTTACAAGAAATAGAAGATTAAGAGCAGGATTGAAAGTCATCTACCTTGCTTCCAGGAGCTGATCAAGGCTGTCATCTCCTTTCACAAGAAGTGTTTTCATTTTACAACTCTTAGCCACTGAAATGTTTCTTTCATCATCGTCTAAGAGAATAACCTCCTTGCTTTTAATTTTCACTCTGTGCTCTTTTTCAATCTGCTGAATCACAGACTCAATGTGCTGTTGTTTTCCTGCATGATTAAAGGATTGAACAATTCAAATCCTTGTTAAATGATGCTGAAATTGTTGCGAGATGATTGCTGTAGAAGCAGACTGCACACAAATGACAAGATAGATTTCTATTCAACAGCTGGTTTACACTTCAGCTAGAGAGTATGACTGATAGACTTCAACACCCACAGAGCTTGGCAAATACCAAGTGAACATGTTTATAATTATGGTTACTTCTTAGTCCAGTTGGATAAGATAGCTGTACAAGCCATTTGTCAGTCCTGAATTTCTACTAATCAGGCTAGCAAACCGGGTTTTAATTGCACATTTTTTGTGTGTTTGTGTGGCTGCGTGTGCCTGTCAATGGCACACTTAGTGGTCATATCATAAAATGCTTAGTAACTGCATTTGGTCGGGTTGGACAGGAAAATATTTGGCTCCTTGTCATGAGGCACAGACCTCTCTGCACTTAGTCTGTACCTCATGACCTAAAGCCAAATACTTTCCCATCCTGCCCTTTCACTAGGTCAATAATTACATATTGGTTTTCTCATGCCCACCGATCTTTTCAAAATTCTCCCATGAGAAAATTAATAATAATTATCAAAATTGCGTGATACCTTATAACACTTCTTCTTGCCTACCACTAATCTTTTTTCCTTGTTCACTGGCATGTTAACGGCCAACGATTAATTATATGTGCAGGTTGCTGTAAGCTTATGTCTTTCTCGGTTTTAAATTCATTCTTATTTTTATACCTGGACAAACAGCTGATTCTGTCAAGTACTGGCACACAAGAGTTGGATCGGCACATGGAAAGTTTGAACCGCGCATGAGGTTTGCTTACTTAGAGCGAAACCTTGAGTCATAATCGATCTTAACTGAAACACAAAAATGTGTTTCGAGCCCGCAGTGTTGTATTTCTGCCCATATCGATAGTGTAAACAGAACGTCAGTAACAGAAATTTGTAAATGAACGTTCGTACCTTCCTTCGAAATTCCTTTCACCTCACTCCATCCTCCATCTGCCCCTCTATAATGTATTCTACTGGTGTCACATTCAGGCAAAGCTTGCTCTATAACCTCCCGAATAAGAGAAATCTGCGGCGATTGCGTCACTATAGCTACGTACAAATCACTGCAACTCAAGGCTGCCACGAAGAACTGCTTGAAACACGGTCGCACACGTGAAACGAGACTCTTACTTGTGAATTGCCATACACCGCCCGTATGTATATTGATGATTGTTTGATCAAAGTCCACTGCTACTAACTTGATGTTTAACGAAATAAGCTTTTGGACGATCCTAGCGTATTTCTCCATCGTGGGCAATATCGGTCGACTTTCCTGTGACTAGTGACCTAAAGTTTCGTTCAGCGGTAAAAATACGACAGGTGTGTGATATAATTGAGCACGTCGTGTAACGCAAGTAATTCCCTTCAAAGCTATCATGTCGGAATCCTGCACTGAAGAAATCTCGACATCGCTCCCCACAGCCCAACTAACAAAACCCGAGACAAAGCTGGGATTGACTGGTTGCTTGTAAAATTAAAGGAAGATCAGGGAGGGTAAAATGGACTTTGCGACGGGAACGTAACGACACGAACGCGACCAGAGAGGTTAGCAAAATTATCTTCAATACCAGGACAGGCAATTTGTCTGACAAAACGTGGCAAATGCGATTTTGTATTTTTATGCGAATGCCTTATTTTAAAACTTGCCAGCCGGAACGGTCAGTTCATAAATTTCAAGAAACATTTTTTCGTGTTTCCCAAAAAAGAAATGTTCAGTCTTTTCAAATTTTCTTTGTAAGTCAGTTGCATGCCTTGCCATTTGGCCGAACCGGCCGGTCATTTCAGAGCACAGATAACAACGCGCTAAGTGACCCTCACGTCTTCAAAAAGGAAAAAAAAATGATAGATAATTAAAATTAAAAAAAAAAAAGGTAATGTCTACTATAAAGTTAACTTCTAATTTTCAACTGTCTCCTGAATTGTACACAAGTGTTGACGATGGGAAGGAATCAAGGAAGTTTTGTTGGTTTATTCTTGAGAGAGTGTCGACCATTACTATATCGAATGAGGATGGGAGGTGTAAGGTTATTCTTTGCTTTAGGAGAGGTTTGTTTATTTTTTTGGCCTTATACCTCCAATCACGACTAATAATATTCTCTACTGTCGTAATATTAAAAATATTCTCGGCTGTCGTGCTGGTCGACTACAAAATCCCCTTCCCCACCCCTTACCCACCCTCAAGTGTATCTTCAAGCGTTTCAGAAGTTTGCTGACCCCAATCCACGATGAGAAAAGGGAGACTGTCCAAGATCTGAATAGGATCATCCCGACGTGACATGCGGACGAGGAACTTGCGCTGCTTGAAAAATAGGCTATCAAGTTTCCCCATTAGTGTAACAGATATCCAAATGTCACAAAACATTTTGTGAAATTACTTTAATTCCAACACACTTTAACACCATTTCAAACGGAAAATAAAAAAATAAGTGAGCACACAAAGTTACCCAGGTAGAGGAGAAAACCCGCAAATATGACGATACCGGAAAAGGCTAAAATAAAAAAAAAAAATCACTAAAAAACACACACGTGAAACTCTAATCTAATTGGATGGCCTTACAAAAGTGACTTAACATAACACAAACTCTTTCCCCTGATATATGAAAAAAATCTTAGCAATTCTACAATTTTGGCATCCTGTAACCCATTAAACTTTTTTTTTTTTGGTATTTTCCTTATGTTTTGATTTTTTTTTTCCTGTTTTTTTTTTCAGTCCAGTTGACCAGTCCAGTAATAAATGAACATTTGACCTTTCGATAAGAACAGTCCTCTTCTGGTTCTGTTTCTTACTGCTTGCTCAGTGTGCCTTTTTTTTGTATACGGTTCGTGTCACGTGCTGTCAAGAACCAGTTGTCATTCTCCTGTCGGTTCTTCCACCAAGCCTTGTTTCCCCAGTGATCGCCACCAGTGTACTTGTTGTCTCCTAGCCAGTACTGATCATTCGACCAATCAGGGAGCCAGCTGAAACCTGGTTTGCAAGGCGCATAGGCACATTTTAAGGGGAGAGAAACGGGCTTCGCAAAACTGGCGCCATTGTCGCAGGTAAACAGGGCGGTGGTGTGCTTAAAGGTAATGGGTCTCGGGCACATGGAGACAGTGATGGGAGTTTTGCCAACACGTCCAGCTTTCATTCTTATTTTCCTCTTCTCTCCTAAGCAGCTGAGGTCATGAACAATTGAGTTACAGGTACCATCACGGGCAAAGAGCACGTTGGTGTAAAACTCGCCGCGAATGGATTTGTGACTGTGCATCAGTGGACCAGTTTCCATGAAATGGTTAGCCATCTTACCACCATGCATTGGCTCGTCCATGAACGGTTTTGGCATAGACTTGAAAGGATGCATTCCCATCTTTGGAGGCATCATATACATTTTGTCCGAGCCAGGTTTCATCATAGCTCCAAACTTCATACCTAACTTTGTTGGTCCGACAGACATCTTAGGATGTGGAAACATTTTACCTCGCATCATGGACCACCTTTCGTGCATCTCTGGTCGCATGCCAGGCCTAGAACCCATCATTAGCCCGTTCATGGATCTCATATCATCATGGTGATTCATAGGTCCTTTCATACCGAATTCCATTGCTCCCATATGCATTTTGCCCATCATCTGACGGCTGTGTCGGCACTTTGGCTTCCAAAGAATAATCTTTTTCACACCACCCACCATTTTCAGAGGCATTCTATGGGGGACCTCGTTAATTATTTGAGAAGGCATTTCTTGCATTTCTATGGGTTCTCCATCCCAGCAGTTCTTAAGGCACACGTCGTCGCTCTCTGGACACTCATCACAGGCGGGCCTGTCCTCTACATCTCCGTCACACTCTTCCCCAAGACAATCATTAATGTGATATTTCATCACTTTCTCTTTAACTACCGAGGAAAAAAGGAAAGAGATTGAGAAACATAGAATCGAGATAAGCTGTGCCGTGGTGTAACGTCGTCCATGCGAGAGAATTAAAAAGGGTTGCTCCTAACTTGAATGCACATTCCCAAATAGTCACTAATAAGCCGGATTCCTCTCACGATCATAGCCAAATCATACATCTATCTATAATAAATGGTGCGAAGCAGGGTAAAAACCATTCTCGACGACGTCATAAGAAAATTTTACCCTGACAGCTTCATTTAAGTCTAAATTTTGTGCGGGAGATTGGCGCACCGCCAGAAAAAAATTATCCCTTTACGCATGCTCGACGTTTGACTCCTGTATTAGGAAGCGTTCATTACCTGGTGGTTGCACGAGGCTTTCCATGGCACGAAGGAACATTGGGCCGAGTCGTACTTGGTATGTCTGGTTGACAAATGGTATAGATGTGAAACTCTCCATGTTCTTGCTGAATGTACAATCTTGGAATACCTCTCGTGGCAGCGTTGTCTGGGCTACAAGCAAGGCTTTGGTAACCTTCCATCGCCAAATGCCATCGTGCATGTTACAGGTGACAAGTGCGCGGGATGGTATACGACCAAAGTTGCATTTTTCATAGGAATCAGCTCCGGTGTAGTCTACAGTCTTACCATCAGGGCAAAGGAGAACGAAGTCGTTGTTATTGTAGCTGTCTTCTTGGATGATATTCTCAAAAGTGTAAGCATCAATGAAAGCAACGTTTCCATCTCTCTGCTTGAGACACCTCAGTGCTCCTTTATAGCCGTAATAATCTTCGATATTAGAATCCATGGAGCATTTCTTGTCACCTTTACCAGCGCAGGTATTGCACAACTTTTCACGGCATTGTTTCGTGTCGATGTCGTCATACTGGAGGTTTTTCCATTCATTCAACAGCCAATGGTAACGAGAGCACATTAGCGAAAGTCTACAGTGGTACAATAAAATGAATATTATTGATAAATGTCGCTGGACTATAAAGAATCACTGGCCTAATGAGTCATGTTTAACTCTTTAAAGCTCTCAAAATATTGGTAAGCGAAACTAGTTAACCGCATATAGGTAGAGATGGGTTTTGGAAAATATTATCTACACATTAAGCCTTACTAGGTATTCTTACGTCAACATTGAAGCTTCAAAAATATCGATAGCTTTTTCTTCTTTTTTTCCGCGGTAAAAAAAAAGATAAAACCGGACTAACTCAGTCCCTAACACCACCACCCC